ATTACTCCAGTAGTAGCTTGAGACTTCTTGATATATCTTTCATAGCTAAGATTGTGCTTACTGTAGATCTATTCAAGCCATACTGCCTAGCAACATCAGACATCTTGTGCCCACTTTCTACCTTGGCTATTATCTCTTACTTGGTTTCTACGGTGAGCACAGTTCTTGACACTCCTCTTTTTAGGCTCTATAATATTATCAGTTTCTTTTTTAAATACAAAGTTCAGAAAAGCACTTACAAAAATTCAGAGAACAGAAATCAACTAACCCACAAAAAATTATTTAAATGGAAAGCCCAGATAAAATTTGAAATTTGGTATTAAAACATTATCAAATATCCGATGGGATAGTTAAAATTTCACCTTTCATAAATAAATCCCGATGAAAATGTTAACAAGTGCCCGTCCAACAGTCTCGCGAAGACTATAAAGAATTATTTGCCAGAAAGGTAAACAAAACTAGAATTACAAGGAAAAGTTTCAAAATTTGGAGGATACTAACCGATCAGTATCGGGTTGAGCGTCGATACTGACGTCTCCCATGCTCCAAAAGGTTTCAAATTGTTACCTGAAGACAAGGGAAAATCAATCGGTATTCGTTATTTTCCGTCGCTTCTTTTTATGTTTGTTCAGTAAAGTGTTCATTATCTGAACATGTGTTCATTGTCTGATCATAAAAGTCTTTGACAAAAGTATTCGTTATCCGATTTGTTCGGTATCCGAACTGTTCGTTAACCAATCACCCACTGTATAATTTAAATATATATATTCAGGTGGCCCTCGGTTTATGCCGGCTCAATTTATGCTGATTCACAATAACGCGGCTGTGAATTCACAACAGCTCTTGGTTTATGCCAACACCGATTCACAATAATGCTGGCTTTGCACAATTCACCAATTCTCCCTATGCTAGACTGATTTTCATTTCAATGTTGACATATTTACCGAGCCGTAACATTGTATATTCATTGAAACAAAGATTTTTTATTGAATATATTTATTTTTTCTGTTTAATATTGTTGGGTATGTATACATTTACATTAAATTAATATTAAAATTCTAAACATTTAGGTACCCACGTATACAAGAATAAAGGAGGGTTATTATGTCGGATAAAAAAAGTGCATCAGAGTTATCTAAACACGTTAAGAAGGCATAGCAATCCCCGCATGTGCTTTCCATCAAACATCTCAAAAAACTTGAGATTTATAAAGCCCAAGGGAAAACTATTTGTATCAATCATAGGGACGCCCACTCTCTATCTACAGCATAGAAATCATTCTATGAAGATAAACTGTAATTTTTACAAAACATTAATTTTTAATGGGAAACTGTTGAGCTCTTTATTTTTATTTATTTTTTATATTCTTATATCCCTATTATTATATTCATTGCGTTACGCGCTCATCATTACAAACACATGTGCAGTTATTATTTTTTCGTAATTTTAATTTATGTTCTATTTCTTTAATGTTCTTTTTACTTTATCATTTAACTGATGAAGATCGTTAAAGACGATCGAAAACATTTTTACGATATTAAATTATTTGCTGGAATATTTAAAAAAGGTGATAACTTTGATTAATTCTTTCTAGTTCGAGTACAAGTTAATGCTTTTATTGTGGCCAGAATGTTCTTGCTTGGTTTCTTTTTTTTTTTTTTTTTGCAAGTTAGTCTACTGTTTCATTTCCTTGGATTCCAATTTGACCGAGCAACCAGTAAGAGACTATTGTATTTCCTGCATGTTTGAGATATTGGAGTAGATATTGTATACTGTTGAGAGTTGGATGGTCTGTTACCCTGCAATTGTTGCTTACCTGTAGTGCACTGTGAGAGTGCATATATATTATAATCTATCTTTGTACATGTTGGCGAGCCATGGGGATTACTTGTCAGTTCTAAACATAATAAATAATACATCCATTTGAAGACTATTTTTATAAGGAATTCAAAACTCTTGACAGAATTAAAATAAATCAGCATGTTGTAGGGTGAGATGGAAAAAAACATCAATGATAACATAAATATTCCTTGAAAATTGTAAATTACAAAAACTATAAGTCAGATGAAAGAAAAAATACAAAACAAACTCAATGAAACTTTTACCTTTAGTCAGTAAACATTAGATATGTTTGAAGACGCACAAACAATTAATATTTAATTGGGAAGCCTTCACTTTTAATTACTAAGACTCATTTTCCAAGTATACTACTCACAAGCTTTTAAAGTAAATCCTATAATTTTAGAATTATAGGATTTACTTTAAAAGCTTTACCAGCACAAAATTATAGCTTCAATTAATTTCTTTTCTGTAATTAGTTTGATGGATTCTTTGCAATTACTTTATTTTTCAGTTTCATCCAAAAGTTTACAATCAGATTAAGATGCAGTGATTGTGCAAGCGATTGCCAACTCCAGTGTGATTTTAAAACAAACAATCTGTCAATTATTTGTGTTCAATGGAGGAATTCATTGTCATTCTAGAAGATAAAATTGCTATTTTCAAACATGACAAAGTCTTTTGATCTTTAATAGATGAATATATTGGTAGCATACACTCTACCTTCAACAATTTGTTTCCACACTATGAGCTGAAATGTAATCCCTATAATAATAGTAATAGTACACTTTACTGTTAGATTTAAACCATTTGTACTGTTCAGTCATTTTTTTGGCATTTACATTCTTTCAGTGTGCAAATTTGTTGTCCATTGGAAAAAGTAAGAGAGCTGCATAACTGCCACTTTGATACACTTTCAAAGCTCAATTGATTCAATTATACTAGCTCTATGATGGCTTTTCCTTTTTCACTAGACTTATTACACCATCAATCAGAAAGAGGACAAACTTTAGAAAATCATATCTTTATTTCTCTGAGTATGCATTTCAGACATTAAATCCCTTTTCAACTCCACATGATATATATGATTATGAGAGTACAGGAAATTGTGATGATGGATACAATACGGATGATGATTATTGATTAACAGATATTAGAGCAAATACAATAATTCGATACATAATGTTGTAAGGCAAACAATATACATAATAAAGTACTCAGTTAAAACTATAAAATTTAAAACTGTGACATTGTATACTGTAAAACTATTATAATAATAAAATAGGATGATGAAGTAAAATAAGTGCATTAAAATAATAAGAATAAAAAATTATTTACAGTAGAATCGTAAACTATGGAACGATTCACAGAAATAATCTAGTGAAAAAGGAAAAGCCATCATAGAGCTAGTATAATTGAACACAAGACTAGACAAAAAGACAAAGCTCAATTGAATAAGACTGTGGTCATTTTGCATGATAGTTTTCTTGGTCTTCCCTTTCTGTACTAACCATCTGAACTGTTAGTCATGTTGAAATGACTAATGCACCTGATAACACTTGAGTGATAATCTTAGCATGTGTAAGTATCTTTAGGTAACATACTTTAAACAAACAAAGAAACCCTTTAGAAATGTAACACAGGACTTCTAACTTTAAAATAATCCATATATTTTATTACAAATAAAATTTTTGTTGTGGCACCTTTGCCTTTGCAGACATGTTTTTGTTTGGATGGTGACATTGAATTTTGTCTTGTTTTCTCTTAACTGTTTGAGAAATTTATCTTTAATTTTATTTATATACTTTTTTATGAACTTGTTCTGTAGTATTTTACCAACTAACATGAATTTTTCAAACCTGTTTAATATTTTAAGATTATCCAAGCATTGCTGGGTATATCAGCCAGTATTTATATAATTTATAACAAAATGTTAAAATGATAAAAAATATTATCATTTCAAGACTTTTATTTTATATGTTATATTTTTATTATTTCACATAAAAGTTGACTTTGAATAACTTCCTTAATTTATTTAATTTCAGAAATAGCATAATATTTTTCATAATTAAAAATTATATTATACACTTATAAATTTAAAAATGCCATTCATATTCTTGATTCTTTTCTAGTTTATTTATTTCACTTGAAAATATTTTTACTGGAAATTGTCAGTATCAGAAGATTTCATTTTAAAGCTTTGTAAACTTCGTTTGCATGAAATTTAAAAAGCTTATGAATATTAACATAAAGCTGACATTTACAAATTTTAAATTTTATGTATACATAAAATTTATAGCCTCAATATAAATAAACAACTCATAACCATATTTTAATTGATTAAGCCAAACAATCTTGCTAAAATTATCAGTCTACTTTTGAGCTACATTAATAATTAAAATTAATTAATTCCACTAGAGGTAGGAGGTTAAGCTGCCAGTTCATATTAATTTTAATAATTATAACCACCAACCTCTACTTGAATTAATTAATAATTTATTATTGGGCATAGCCCAAAAGTAGCCTGATAGTTTCGGCAAGATCATTTGACTTAATTTATAGCTTGTCTGGCACTATCAGAATAATGTTTAAAATTACATAAATATTCACTCTATTCAACTATACTGATAAATCAAATAATAAATACAAATACATAATGAGCAATTATTTATTGTGACATCATCACAATGCCAGGCTGCAATTTATAATCATATTTTTTAAATTTAATTTAAAATATATGCTCTCCATCCCAAATTAGTAGTGTCTTGCCTCTACATAATACTTTTCCTGTTAGCAACAGAGTCATGCTGTCATCTATCTAAATCAGTGGTTCTTAATTAACCTTTTCAGAATCACAGAACACTTAAAAGTTTACAAGATTTTTGCAAAACATAGTTGTAAAATAAAACAGTATATATACTTTTTATATTGCATAATACATTAAAAATCACATACATAACAGATTGTTATTTGTTATTGACTGATATGTAATTAGTAAATGAAATTTAAAAAAAAAAATTCTCAATTTTTTAATTAATGGAATAATTAGGCCTGATGACTTACAAATCTTTTCAATATATATATATGTTTTCAGTATCTGATCTTATGTGTAAAATAGCTATTCTCATTTCTTCTTCTATATTTGTCAGCCTTTCATGTTTCTTTATCTTAATATTCATTAATGTTTGAAAAACCAAGCTTGCATAAGTATAATGTTAAAAATTGTCATAAAATTTTAATTGCTTTTTTAGAAATAGTTTTAAACTCAGTTTGAACAGAAATCCAAAAATTCTTCATCTGTTATTTCAGAAAATTTCATTTTGAGAGTACTATCCATTGACTACATTATGAATTCTTCCTTTCCTTGTAACAAAAGCTCAACTTGATGTGTTGACTGCAGAAAATGTATTTTTGTATCCAATCATAATTTTCAATATTCAATGCAGGAAAGTATTTCACAATTTCTTCTTTTAATAATGTTAAATGTGTTATAATAGGAATTATTTCATCAATATTGTTATTTTGGACTGAAGGAAACATATCTAGTGTTTTTTTTTAATTATGCACATTCTCCAAAGTGATATTTTTTTGAAATGCTGACAGTTTGTCAGTGGATTTTAAAATATTTTCATTTTCACCTTGCATACCAGTATTCATGTTATTTAAATAATTGAAGATATCAGCTAAATATGTCATTTCAATACACCAAATATCATTTGTAAGAAGTTTTAAAAATATCATTCCCTTTGTTTTGAAAAACATTAACAATTTATCTTCTAAGTTCTAAAATTTGGTTCAGCACTTTACCTCATGATAACCACCTTACCTCAAGTATGTAAAAGTAAAGATTCATGCTGAGCATCAAGCAATAGATTCATAGATGCACAAAGTTTTTAAAATACACGTGTTTGTAAGGGTTGCGATTTGATGTAGTTTACCATATTTTCAATTTGGTCTAATACAAATTTTAATGTCATAGGTAATGTTTTTGAGACAAGTAATTCTCGGTGTAAAAAGCAGTGTGTAGATATAATATTAAGATTTTCCTTCTTTGAGAAAGTAATAAATCCTTTCATAGAACCAACTATTAAAGGAGCACCATCAATACAGATCCCTACACATTGGTCCCACGTTGTGTTAAATTTATCTAAATATGACAAAATGGAGTAAAAAAATATCCTGTCCTATTCTGCATTTGGTAATTTGTCTGCAACATAAAAATTGTTCACTATTTTGTTTTTATCAATAAAACGAACAAATCCTAGTACATGAGTTATTACCGCTGATATCAACGGTCTCGTCCATTTGTAAAGTATTGTTCTGAAAGCATATTAGTAACTGTTCTTTCAATATCATCTGACATATGTATAATTCTGTTTTTAGTTATGTTGTCCAAATGAAGAATTTTCATAATTTCTTTTTTTGCATCATCACCAAAAACATAATTTGAACTATTTCAGAACATGGTGGTAAAATCAGACACTGCTATGATGTGTGGTTTTAAATTTTTAGCAATTATTTCAGCAACTTTATACGATGCAATTTGTGTTTTATTAGATACTGTTAATATTTTTGAAAATTTTTTCCTTGATTAATAACCGTTTTAATTTTTCACTGATTTTCAAATTTTGACGGAACACTTTTTCTAAGTTCACGGAACACTGGTTAAGATCTTCCGATCTAACTCCTTACAGGAAAAAATTTTTTAATTGAAATAACATGACTTCTGGTTTTCATTGGAAGTTCATACACAGTTAATTGGGGCCTCTTTCTCCTAAACTTTCCATATCTGGTCTCCAATTTCATCTATCTAATTCTGTTGTAAAGATTAAGGAAAGAAAGACAGACAGACCAGACGACAGTGGAAATTTATGTCTACAATTTTTTTTACATTGCAGTCCAATTAGTAAAAGCAATAATCAATTGAATAATTGAATTCAACATACTGCCTATGTATCATTAAAATTTCAAAAAAATTAAATGGTATTTAAACTATAATACTTACTTTTCCCTGTAAAATCAATGCTACCAAAATATATTTTTTATATGCTTCTAACATTATATGACTAACAGCCATGCTTGGTGTAGCAATAGCCTAAAAAATAAACAAGAAAATATATATTTCATTGATTCATTTAAAAATACAATTTTGAATCTATCTACTTCACAGTTTTTATTTACAACAATTATTAGTTTTTATTGGTTGGAAATAAGAAAAATTTGCACATTTTTCTTTCCAAATAATGATTGCATTATGGTGAAAACTGCATTGCATGGTAATGTATGTATATATATATACAGGGTGGAAAATAAAGTCATTTCACATCTTTGCTACAGAATATAGAATGTATCCAAAGAATGTACAGTACATTGAGCACATCATGTAACATGCATAACTCTAACCGTTTGAGGTAGGTCAATAAAATCTTTCAGCAATCAATTTCCTTGTGAAATTCTGACTCTAAATGATGTGTCACATGACCTTCTTCCCATTTGTAGTTTTGGTGTTGCATTCAATATGGCTGCCATCAAGATGGAGGCCATGCTTGTAACACACATCAATCTGTTTCCCCCTTGGTCTAAAGTGTTCCTGACATGAGCAAATTAACTTTGGGTACATTCTATGTTCTGTAGTAGGGGTGTTAAGTGACTCTTTTCCTCCTGTATATATATATACACAGTATAACCTCTGATAGTGGATTCAGTCAGAACCAAGAAGTTTATGCCCTGTTTCGAGCTATTAGGAGGCACATGCTGGAAACAGAAGGGTGGATGAAGGTTGGTTTAAATGGTGAGAGTTCAAATGTCAAGTTATGATGACAATTTGTTAGTCATTTCAAGGGGTGGAAATATATTCAGTACTCATTCATTTATAATGTCATCTATGATCTAAGCAACTAATAAAAATTGATATGGTGATTTGTCTGCTTCATATTATCAAGTAGGTGTAATTTTTTTAAGCATTTTTTTTTTTTCAATAAATGGTTTATTAAAAATTATATCTACACAATCACAAAGCTGTTAAGATCATAAATGCAAGAATACTGAATATATTCCCACACTTTAAAGTGACCTGGCAAGTGGCCTTTGAACTTTCATCACAAATGCTATTGTTGTAACCATTTTAAGTTTCTTTTCATTACTACTGGTATTACGGTTCTTGTTGAATGAATGAATAACCCAGAAAAAGTTTATGGTGTGTTGATACCATAAGTTTAATTCCAAAAATAACACAGAACTTTAATAACATTAATATATATGATGATAAGTGGTGATTGATAACTAACCAGATTAGTCTTCTCTAATAGATAAAGAGTATTGTTCAGCTTTTTACAACCTGCCCTACTCCTCTATTCTTATTTTCAGCAGTTTTTATTTGACACCTATGGTCAAAATTTGTCATCTGAAAGAATATTTGAACCAATTCTTTATTTTCATTTTAAAATATTTTGTATGTAATTAATCATTTCAGAATACTGAAGGCAATATGTTTTGTTTCCATGAGTTTGGTTATAGATGACAGCATCTGTTATTCAGAGCTAAATATAATAGATGTCTTATTTGAAGGGACTGTGAATTGTAAAAATGTCCGTTAAGTAGATAGAGGTGTCTGCTATTCAGGAGTGTCCATTAATGAAGGTTTTACTGTATATAGTATGTATATACTATATACGGTTTGTATATAGTATATATATACGGTTTAACCCGATTATAACATCATCCATGGGACCAGCAATTTTTTGACGTTATAACTGAGTGTCGTTTATCTGCGGGGTCATAATTTCAGTCCCATAAAAAGTACCAAGTGTGTTTAAGAATCTATTGTAAAATCCATTCTAATTTAACATCGTATGTATTACTGTAAAATTATTTCTTAATGGTAATATAGTATACTGTATCTATTATGGTAATAATTTATTATCGTATGTATAAAAGTGCAAACTAAATGTTTAAATCAACTTCATTTACATTATTATGTCTAAGTTTACATTGATGTAATTAAAAATTTCAGAAATTACCTTTTATAAGAAATTTCTATTTGTCTTAAGTTTCGATAATGGTGGCACTTTTGGTTTTGAGAATAATGTCAAATCAAAAGGCAACAAAAGGTTAAACTAATGTATGTTAATTAAAAAGACATAATAACAATATTCACTTAAAAAAGTCAGTTATTTTAGATTGTAGGTGTTTTTCACCTAAAAATTGTTTATCAATGTCATTTTCTAAATCATACACTTTATTCATTATTTTCAATGAAGTTTTNAATGATTTTACATCATAAAAATATAAGCTTAAAATTTTAAGTATTCTTACGAATTGTAATTTACTACTAACATTAAATTTTATACATACTTAATTATATTTACTTAACAATTTTGTTGAGTTGTGATTTAAGAGGAAAAAAACTCACTTTAAATGATGATAATTCTTCATATTCAATAAATAATGATTAATTTGGATAAATGAAATAAAGACAGGCTACTTAAATTTTTCATAAACTAAAATAAAAATTACAAGAAGGCAGACTGACCTTCCTAAATTCTGACAAAATGATTTAATTAGATGAATATCTTTGGCCTATAATAGGCCAGTTTCAAGTCATACAACATAAACTAAAAAGAAATATGATGTTCTATTAATAGAATGCCTAGATGTTCAATAATTTTGTTATACATTCCAAAATTTAAATATTTTATAAGAATGATTTTTAAATTTTTACATCAAAGATTGTTGTAAAATATCAGCAAATTAAACACAAAAATATTACAGTCAATTACAAAAGTTATAAAATTATAATCACTATATTCAGAAGATATAAAATTGTCAAATGCCTATGCATTCTATTAATAGGATGTCATATTCTTTTGATTTATGATGTATAACTTGAAGCTGGCTATTAAGGAGACAGAAAATGTTCGTCTAATTAAATCATTTTCTTAATTTATGAAGGTTGTCCACTCACCTTGAAAACAGGCTAATTTGCTTACTAATTATTATATCTTTGTTGTCCAGTTAATGATAAATTATGGATTGTGCACATTATGCACTCAAAGGAAATCAACCTTATCGTGTAACACAGATATTAATTTAGAATTATAATATATATTTATGAATATTTAAATGATATCAGCACCAAACTTCTAATGTATAAAAAAAGAGCTATATTGAAAACAAAAGACAAGTGTAAACATAATAATTATTTGAGCTGATAATACTTCTAGTTCTTCATATTGGTTCAGTTATTAAAAAATTAATTAATGCTTTAATTAATCATCTAAGTTTTGTTTCAAATATTATTATTGTGTCTTTTTTTTTTTACATGTATATAAACATTATTTTATCATAATAAATGTTAAAATACAAATAATTTAATGTAGAATTTATTATTATTTTTTTTATATCGCCTTATTTTATTATTTATATTAATATGGCTTCAATGTATTTATTATAGTTACTTTGTATATTGGTTGGCTAATTTATTTTACATTTTAAGTTTGAATTTATAATGTTTGAAAGTTCCATTTTAACACAATTTTCAAATTTGTTCGATAGCCTGTCTGTCACCTGATGATGGCCTATTTATTCCATTAGGCTGAAAACGTTTGTGATTTAATAAATATTCTCAGCATTATAAGGTGTTAAATGTTTTATTAAGTGTAGAATTTATCAATTTCTTTGAACTACTTACCACTTCGAAAAAATACATAGCTCGTTCATAATTTTTTAAAGCTGTATATATCATTCCACCATAATAATAATATAAGAGAAAATGTTTTGAATCATAATGGCCTCCCTAAAAAGTTAAATTCTTTCTTAATAAAAAGTAATAAATAATAATATATTAAAATTATCGTTTACTTAGAATCTTGAAGAAAACTTACCTCTTTACTAATTTCGGTAATATCTATATCTAAGAATTGTAAAGCTGGTTTCAAACATTTGGCTAACAGACAGAGCTATAAAGATATACAAGAATTAAAATATAAAATACACGCCCATATAAATATAAACACAATACGTGCAGTATGTTATGTTAAAGTTACCTGGCATAAATCTGCATGAATTGAAGTCAGCTGTGATGGATTCAATTGAATTTTACTAATTGCATGACATAATAAGTCAATGCCTCTCATTGGCTGGAAGAAAAAAAATATCGTGTTTGATATATCTATTGTCTTTTCATCACAAAACATTTAAATACTTCTAAATTATATGAGAGCTGTTTCTTTTTAAACCTCTGATTGTCCATAAAACAAAGACAAATGTAAATAACAAAATGAATTTATTAACAAAAATTAGGTACAAACATGGTTACTTTTTGACATAATCACCATGAAGATTGAGGCATTTGTCTATTTGTGGACAGGCTTTGAAATCCTCTCTTCATACAATGTTGCCACCAATGACTTGAGATGGCCTTAATGATGTTTTAAAGATCGTCATTAATCTCAAACCTCTGCCCTACTAACCATGTTTTCAGTTCAGGAAAGAGGTGGAAATCACTTGGCACTAAATGGGGGCTATATGCTGAGTGTTTAAAGGTGGTGAAGACTTCCACCTAGCTTGGAACTTTTAAATGTGTGAAGACTTCCACCTCTTTCCTGAACTGAAAACATAGCTAGGAGGGCAGAAGTTTGAGATTAATGATGATCTTCAAAACAGCATTGTTAAGGCCATCTCAAGTCACTAGTGGAAACATTGTAAGAAGAGGAGAGTTCAAAGCTCGTCCACAGATAGACAAATGCCTCAATCTTCATGGTGATTATGTCAAAAAGTAACCATGTTTGTACCTAACTTTTGTTAATAAATTCATTTTGTTATTTACATTTGTCTTTGTTTTATGGACCATCAGACGTTGAAAAAGAAACAGTCCTTGTATTAAAAATCTTACCTGCTGTCTTTCAACAAGACTCTGTGTCAGAAGATGACATAATTCGGCAACTGCACAAAAAAACATAAAAATACTTAAATATTTCAGACTCTAGTTTTTAGTATTATTACTTTCCTGGATGTTATGTAAATTTACACAGGTAAGTATTGGAATCATGTCAAATTTATTCTGGTGATTAAAGGTCAAGGGGTGGAGAGATACAGGGAGGTTATATATCATATCTCAAGTGGAGAAGGATTCTATTCATTATTGGACATTAACGGGTTAAGGCTATAAATTTCATTGATTTCATATTGCAAAAATAAGTTTACCACAAAACATGTAAAAATTTAAAAAGAAATGACTATTCAAATCAATCCAGATATTCAGATGAATGAGATCCAAATAAACAATATTTGCTCGTAATTATAATAAACACATTCCATTCTATTAATATTAAATATTATATTAGCAGTAAGTACATCATTATAGGCTTACTTTATTATTTTTTTATGATGTGATTTGTTGTAAGTTTAATGCTATCTACAGATAAGCACACAAATTATGTAAGATGTGATAAAACATATCCATGATATCACAAGAATTAAATTAAAATATAAAACAACATTAATTCATATATGACATCCTGTTACATAAAATAACAAATCAACTATCAAATATGTACAAATGTTTCATTATTCCTGGATAGGAATAATGATACATTTGTACGCGTATTCTCTGTAAACTTTAAGAATTATGAAATGTTTTTCTAAATATTTTGAGATAAGAGCTTAGTTTCACATATATTCTTCTAAAGAATTCGCTAGTTGATTTGTTTAATATTTCATCTTTAATTCATTTTATTTTATATAAAGAAAGTTAGTAGTTTTTATAATTTATCTCCTAATACAAAACTGATAACAAAGCTCAGAAAATATGACACACACTTTCAAAGATTTAAGCTTTTCAGTAATACTAAATTTTTTCAGTGTTCATATATATATATATATATCATATATATGAACAAATAAAATGAATTAAAGATTTATTATCTATATATGTATATATAATCGAGATGGGTTGATAATAGTAATCAGCGCAAATCCCAAACAGTTAGGAGTTGAAAGTTGAAATTTGGTACACAGTTAGGGTATGTCACGAAAACATACACTAAGGGTGCGACTATGCAGACACGAATTTAGAGTGAGCGAGAGGTTGCGAGCGATTTAGTTTTCGCAAAGGAAAACCATGCACAAACAAGAAGCAAGAAATAACGCTAGCGAGAGCAAATTTCTGGTTCTCGCACATATCTGACAGGTTTTGATATTTATCACGTCTCGTCTCACATATTCTCGCTTGCTCACGTCTGCATAGTCGCACCCTAAGAAGGGATTTTTCGAAATTCCCCTCAGGGAGAGAGGGACAGGATTAAGGCTTGAACAATGAAAGTGTTAAGTAACAATGGAAATATCAACAATGGAAGTGTTAAGAGAAAGTGATGTGCAAGATTTACAGACGTAGATGCAGTTTTTTCGTTTTTGTGAGAAATCGAACATTTTTTAACCCATCTAAAAATTCTCTAATTAGTCTGGAAACAGGGGGACCTAATTCTTATGTTCTTTGAAAACGGGTGAGATTGACTATAACGTAATAATCTTAATCTTCGCTATCATTACTTTTTGCCCAAGCATGCCGGGCCTATCTGCTAGTATATATATATAATCTCGTTATAAATTATTTCAGATATCATATTTATAACTTAATAAGTTTAAATTAGCTTACATGTATCTGTTCCAAATCTCACTTGTTCACCATTACAGCCCATAATAAATTCTTGAACTTGAGCATACATAACTTCATATTCAGAAAGAACAGGACAATTAAATTTAACACAACTGTAAAGAAAGTAAAACATAAAGTTATGTAATTATTTATCAATAAATAAATGCTGTTTTTAACTTATATATCATCACTAACATTTAAATCATGATCAATAATCTCATCTTATAATCTAAATCAATCTTAAAATTAACTCAAACTACTCATAATTAATTTCAACATTTCTCTCTTAAGTTCATTGTTGTATTTTGTAATAATTTAGGACTGACTTTTTACAATAAAAATTATAAAATGCAAAAGTGTGCATTGTAATTTTAATATAAAAAACCACAATCATTCTTTTGTGTACATTTTAATCTAAATTCTATAAAAATGTGACTATCTGCCCTAATTCATAGAGTGATGTGTCAATTGCCTTCCTTTCATCAGAGGTGAGCTAAGATGAATTTTATCGGACACTTTAAATGCAAGTTATTCATCTGGTAAATTTAAATTTCTCAAATTATACTCATTTTACCCTGTTTACAAAATGGACACTAAAGCAAAGTTATCATTCACCAACTTAGGAAGTATTTCCTTCAACATTCCAAAGAACAATTATATCTTACCCATTTGTCCCTAGCCCAATTTCAGAAGGAATGTATCTAATAATAGGGACAACTTTTCAATAATAGAAAAGTTTGGTATACAAAATCTCCTTATATCTTTACTCTTCCAGCATCTGGTCCTCATACATAGGAAAATCATACAGATCATCATCTGCCCACATTTTCAAATATATGCAGCACAATACTGTACTAAATTAAGTAGAAGTGTCATAAGGGTTTGGTTCCAATATCAGCCAATATATAATTATTACAAACTTGTCCAGATTCAAGGTTTTTATGCATTAGAAAAACAAATGTAAACAATCAACAAGCAATATAACCAGCTGACTTTGACCTTTTAGAGCATTGAATATTCTTTATTAGATTCTTGTATAAATCTTTTCAGTCTTATGCTAAATTCACTATTTTAATTATAATTAGGTAAAACTTTATTTTATTTATCATATTAATTATATATTACATTCTATATACTATATTGATATTAGTAAGTATAATTTCAATCAACCTCAAAAATTAGTCTAGCAGTCATCAAAATTATCACCTTTCTAACATTTTCCACCTACTCTAAAGGTCTTCATCAAGAAATTATAACACAATGGAATGTTTGTTGAATCTTTGAACAGGAAAATTTAATTTTGAATCAAATACAATTTAATTTGGCTGTCAGGTGCATACCATGTATCACATGAACATGTTTTGAGAACCCAATTCATACATTGCATGATATGCGAATGACAGCTGATTTCAATTGTATTTGTTCTGAAATTAAATTTTCCTATTTGAAGAACATTCTAATGAACATTCCATTATTTTCTAATTTCCTGATGAAGACCTTTGAAATGGGTCAAAAACATTAGAAAGGTGGTAATTTTGATGACTGCTGGACTAATTTTGAGGTAGATGGAAATTACACATTCATCTACCAACCATCTATCAACTGAAGAATTTTTAATTCATTAATATTGTATACTTTCTTATGTAATTAAGAATAATGACAACAAACAAAAATTATTTTAGAAGAATAAACATAAAAAACAATTATTATTTTGAATTTAAAGTAAATGTACTTATTGTTCCAGTGTAAATCCTGAAGATGATAACTAATATTATTGAAAGTCCTTGTAAAGTATATTTGATTTTTTTAAAACTAGTTTATGTAATTTTCTTGGCATAAAGGCTGAAAAACTGAAAAACAGTTTTAAAATTTGTATCATTTATATCTATATAAACTTATTATCTTTTTCTATAGAAACCATCATTAACAGCTATCAGTTGGCTATGCTATCAGTTAGTTTTGTTGCCATGATCAATGTGTCATTCAGTTTGAAGTTAATACAGAGATTTAATATTTTAATTTCGTTTCTGAATTTTCTATTACACTAAAAAAAATGATACTTTGATAGAAAACAAAGAAAAGAGTAACTACAGTGTTTACTTACAGAATTGCTAGTATTCCTAAAGAATGTTCTTGAAGATCTAAAGTCGCCAACACGTCATCCAAGTGCGGAACATTTTTAACTAATACTTCGGTACTTTTATTGATATAATCACATAATGAATCAAAATTACCTGTAAAATAAATTAATTAAAATTTGACATATATATATATAAAAATATCTATTATGTAAAAAGACAATGCATTTATTTCATTTAATTTATTTGATTTCTATTGAAACATTTCATCTTTTTTATTCATAGTGTCAATAAAAATATAAAGTATTTCACATAAAAATGAAAATTAATATATCATAAAAAGCTAATTTAGAAATAATTAGAGAGAAATATAGGAATTTTATCTAAAGAATTTTCCAACATTATAAAACATATGAGTACAAGTTTACATAATACAGCAATATACAGGTTTCATACATAGTAAAGTTATTATACAGTGATGTGTGTCATGCATAACATCCTATACACTTACATAATACACTCAAACTGCAACAGTAACATGGAATAGAATGACCAAAAACGTTCGTTCTACAGAGTAAATATTCCACATTACCGCTGGAGTTTGGGTGTATTACATAAGTTGATAGTTTCTCCAGTTACATAGTAGTTTTACATAAACATACTACATACAGTAATGTACAGTATGCAGCATGAAGACACAAGATAATAAAAAATACACTCATAAATAAACACACGAGAAACGAATGAGAACACACAAACAAACACCAGAAATACATATTTTAACATTAGTACTCAATGTGCATATTAGCATTTCATACTCTATTGAAGCATATTATGTGTCCTTTCATATTAAATCGATCATATGCTACAACTTTGTAAGTGACGTTATTCCATATTATGCATCGTTTTCCAGACAGGAGTACTAACTGCTTAATTTTAAGACTGCCAGGAGTGCTGCAAGCAGTCTTGTCTAGTAGCCTGTAGTCACTTTGCTATAACTATAGGTCACATTCATAACTGTAGCTATCTGCATTTGTCAGTTATGTAAATGTAGGACTTTACTACAAATCTTGTATATACATATATAAACAAGAAATTACTTCATAACATACAATTAAACCTCTGCACAACAGCCACAGATATACTGTACATAAAATATGGCCATTGTTTGGAGGTTTATTCTATATGCAGTTTTTTTTATTGAAAATAAAAATATGTTCCTGCTATTGGAAGATAGCCATTATTACAGTTTCAACTGTATATGCATGATTTAAGTTTATAAAAGTTGATCAAGTGAATGCTGTTGAGTATTTTGAAATAAGCCTTATTATATCAGAATACAATAATAGGTTGAGTAGAAGAAAATGGAAGAGGTTACAGAATTCACAATTTTTATAGAGATGCTTTTTTTCTACGTATAAATTTCTCTTAAAATAGCTAATTCTATCCAAAAAAAAAAAAAAATTAAATTCTGTGAAATTTCTGTTTTCTCAACAAATAAAAAATATTTTTAGATAATTTTAAATATTACAGTATGTTTGGCATCCAAAGAAAAACAAACAAGAAAGAAACTAAATAAAAGAAGGCAGATATCCAAAAGAGATATTAAAGTAAAGAGTATAACAGTGATTCTAGTTTGTCATTGACTGAAAGGGAAACACAAACAATCCTATTACTTAAAAAACATATATATATATATTTATATATGAAAATTTTAGTAATAAACACTTTAATTTTTCAAATAATTGTGAATTTTTAAAATAAATGCAATAAAGATAGCTTTTTAAGGACTCTAATCTTTTTACTAGAGAAGCATTTTTGGATCTTCTACAGGGTCCAGCTCCAAAACAAGAATCAAACATAAGATTCATGTGGTGTTCTAAAAGATTTAAAATTTAATGTTCTCACACAATGTAAAATGCTCTTACATCATCATCATCAATGTTTTCAAATTTATAGGATCTTACAATACATTTCCAAAGACTGTAAGAATGTTAAAAAATTAAAATTTATAAAGATCTCAGCTAAAAATAAAAACAAAACCAAACAATGTAAATTAAACAGAATCAAACTTGCTACATATTTACATCTCTGGTGTCAGGGTGTTCTCAGTGTAGTGGATCATATACAACATGTCTCTCATCCCGCATGCCCCAAAAATACCAATACTATTCTGTGGAGAAGTGTCCAATTACCACCTTTACAAAAGGAAGTCCCATGTCAATCACCCAGGTCTAGGGATTGTAAATTTACTGACTTTTTCATTTACCAGTAATTTGGTAAATGAAGATTAAAATTAAGGTGATAAAAAATATGTCATTATGATTTCCATTTCACAGATATCAAATATAAAAATTAAAGTGTTATTCTAAACAAACTATAATAATAAATATAGAAATAAAATAATATAGAAAAATAAAAATACAACAGAAATAATATATAGTACCTAATACCATTTTATTGATTACCATTTTTTAAAATTAACTTCTCAAGAAACTTAAATTATTTATAGTCTTATCTCCTAATTTTGATCTAATTTTTGTAGAAAATAATCCAGATCCCGAGAATACCCTTTCTGATTCAACACTTGTTGGACGAATGGTCATTAAATTAAAATTAAACAAAAAATAACTCACATAAAATTAATAATGAGGTATATTGTTGCTTANGTCCCTTTAGCCCTTTTAAATATCTATAAATACAATATTTTCTACATAGAAACTTCTAGTATAGATTTTTCATTTACCGAATTACCGGTAAATTTCAAAAATTTACCAGTAAGTTTACCGAATGTTTTTTTGTCAATTTATCGGTTAACCGGTAAATCAGTAAACTGGTAGGGATATCGGTACTCGGTATCCCTACCCAGGTCCATGCAAATGATAAATATTGGGCTTCATGCTTATTATATCATACTGTTGTATTAACTCAAGCATATATATAAACTGCTCCAGTGTGCTGATCAGTGTCTCCTTGTTGCATTCTCTAAGTAAGAAAGGATATTATAGTACAAAGTTTTACAGAAATTTAAACCCATTTTGTATTTCATAACCAATATTAATATTTACTACAGACCTAAGTTTTTAGAACACTCTTATCTCAAGAATAACTTACTTTTCAAAACTGTTATTTTGGATTCTGGGTTAAATTATAATTATAAGCAAGCCGACAAAATTTCAAAGCAAGGAGTGTTCGGATTTAATATTTATTCTATTTTTTAAAAATTAAGTGGACAAAATTTATAAACACATACTAATTAATTTTTTCATCCTGAACTACACATAAGAAAGAAGATAAAAACTTACAAGACAACAAACAACTCAAGTACTTACAGAGAAATAGCAAAGGCTACCATCATCACCTTTGCCTATATATAAAACCTCATCATATATCCTTACTTAGAAAACATTAAAGATCCCAATGATAAACAACAATCCTCTGGTTTACTCCATTTGGTAACAGATAAGAGTCATCCGAAAGCGAGAGTACTGAGCATTGGAGCAACTGCAATTAAAAAAACACAAAACTTCCAGTAAAAAGAGTCTTGCCACAAATGTACCAGTAACCTTTGCTACAGACCATGACGTTCAATTTTCCTTTGATGAGGCCCATATTATACATCTGACCAGGGAGAAGGCCCTCTTAGAGAATTTGAGAAGCATGAGATGTACAAAGCCAATAGAAAAGCTATACCATAAATTATAAGGCTGCATACACTGCCTCATATGCATGGAGGTCCTTTTTAGAAGTCACCTAACAATTTTTTTGATTTGTAAATGGTCAAATTGACCTTAATGCCCGATCTAATCAACTATTTGTTCAATTTCTGTTTGATTTTGTTTGATAGAGGACACATTCTCATCTTTATGCAAAAAATTATTATTATTACGAACACTAAAGCAACAACTATTAATAGCTTGTCGTTTCTTTTTCCTTTACTGCAATTAATAATCTGGAAGAACTGATTTATCAAAATTTACATCATCATTTGCATTGAAATTATCATCTCAAGTATTACTTTTAGTTTGATTCAGTTTACGTAACAAATACAACAAGACTTTTCACTCCAGGCACTACTGAAATCTTAATAAAAGCAATGATTCACGTTTGATCCTTCACAAGATATTTTACTTAAAAATTTATATTATGTCTCTTCTGTTTTGTTCAGATATATTCAAAAATTCTATTTTTTGATGTTTGTTTTCAAATTGTTAAGAAGAAGCATAAGATTGCTTAAGAGAATGAATCACACAGATACATGCAATAAAGATGGATATATAGTATATAATATGTATAGTTAATATATAGTATATAGTTGGTTTGCTGTATGTTATATTAACAATGTTACATTGTTAATGGATATATAGGCTTTATTAATTCTAAAGGATATTCATTTTAGACAGTATGTCCTTCATCAGGTCTCTTTATTTTACATCAATCTGACTATAAAAACATTACAAAATGAGAGACCAGTGAATCTAGAATTAATAAAGCCTGTATATCTATCTTCATTGTATGTTCCTGTGTGATTCATTCTCTCAAGCAATCTTATGCTAATGTAGACAAGGCTTGTGGTTTTTTTTACAAGAGCCAACAAGCCAAAAAACATGGTGTTAATGAAGAAAGCCACATATAAAGAGTTGTTAATGCAATCTTATGCTTACTCTTAACAATTTGTTTTCAAATGTTTACTTGAAAGAACCTTATACTCTGAAATCATCATATGAAAAACTTGTTAAATATAATTAAAACACAAACACCAAACCAGAAAAATTTCCACTCTACTATATTCTGCATATTATATTTAATAGCTAGATTAATTTTGCCACAATGCATAGTACTACATCAATGATATGCACTAGAAGTACGTCAGCAAATACTTTAAAGTTAGAAATACACTTTATATCATACAAGCATTTTTAATTCCCACTTTTAAATTATAAAAACAACAATTTTAAACACTTTTATGATAATGTACAAATTCTTTTTGAATATAATTTTCATCAATTTTTGCATATCATTCAATACTGTAGGACACAAGTTTTGAAAGGCCATCTCTTGAAAAAGTTGTTTCTGAATTCAGTTATATATCAGTCGTCAATTACTCAGAACTCAGTTGTCAATGTTCAAATGTAAATTTAAATTCACAACAGTTTGTTTGAGTATTATGTAAGAATGGTTAACCTAATTTCTTTGACAGTTAATACAAAACACACACACAGATATTCAGGCTAGTACCAGGAAGGATATAGGGTACTTTCCATTTGCAAAATCATTCAATTTCACTTTTCCGGCTCTGTTGTACATAAGAGAGGAAAAAAAATGGCAACCAGTCAAAATGTCAACAAATTTGGAGTTTTTTTCTGTATGTATGGATGTTAGTATGTATATGTGGGGCACAATTTTGAAGCTTAATAACTCCTGTGTTTTCTATTGAAAATTTCTGAAATTTTGGAAGGAGGTTTGTGTATTAGTGGAATTGATGCTATTAAATTTAGCTTGTTGAAGGTCATCGGATTGGGGAGATACAGGAGAGTGTGTGTCATATCTTGAGTAAGGTCAAACTTTATGATGATTTTACTTGTTATTAGCATTTACAATTTTTTTATAAAAACCCATCCCTACCCTCAAAATTAAGTTTTTTTACCATTTTATAATAATTGAAAACAAAAAACATTTTTTAATAAAATATTATAACAGATGGCACCACCAAATGTCAGGAAAGTTAAGCAACTCATTGCTGGAATTTTTAATAAGATTTGATAGAATTATGATATCATTTGAAAGAGTAAATACTTCACAGCTAATTCTTATTAGATCTTTCACGTGAATAGTAAGTTTTGTCAAAAGGGCAATGGATGTAAGTGAAACTACGAAATTTGAATACATTAGGTCAACATTGTGGTCATTAATAGAGGCAAAAGTCAGTCAAATGAAATTTGAGTAACATATATGCAATCCTGAACATACGACCATTGCCATTTTTAACCCGTCGACTTTCAGTAAGTCCCTAGAATTACTTTCAATGTAAAATTACTATTACATTGCAAACTTTACTTCAAATATATTTTTCCAACCAAAACTGGATACCTCAGCTACGTTTGGGATAAAATTTCTTTCAAAATGCTATAACATTAGAAAAATGAACTTAGCATTTTAACAGAAATAAAACAAGAATTTTATTGAATGAATTACATGACAAATAATACAAAAAAATCCATTATCAATGCATTAAAAGTTTTCAATTACCTGTTAATAAATTCAGAAATTTACAAAAATCCATTATTTCAATCTTTAAATGTTAATTAAATGTCATCACATATTATCAATCACTCATAAAAATACAGATCTTAATTATCAAAATGAAAAAGTCTTTTGAGAAATGAAAGAACCTTTCTTCTATATAAAAACAATAAATGCTAAACTAATAAATCTTAGTAAAATTACATACACACTATACATGTAAAAAAACGTTTCTTAACTGATTTTGAAAAGATCATCTTATACCAGCATTTTGTTTATCATATAGTATATTATTAATAATATAATCATTTCTATGAACTCTTTACATATACCATACATAATGAAAAAAATAAACTAAATTACCATCTTTAAATATGGTATTAAATTTTATTAAACAGATAATAAATGTTATCATTCACTACGTTCCTAGCTGTTATAAAATAACAGAGAAAATGTTGTAATCAGTCAATTTATCGACCCTCTGGGATTTTGCATTTTTCATCCCCAATTCCAAAACATCAAAAAAGGGGAACAAAACTGTGTGATTCAAAGTTGTTAAGAAATACGATACGGAATGATGTCTCGACCCGATGACATCATTACGGACTTGCGTGCTATGCATGTTGTGTTCTATCTTAGAGATTTATCTAGTAGGGCCTGCCAGGCTAGTAGGGCCATTCTACCATTTATATAGTTTTAGGGGGTGTGGGAGCTTGCCCTCACCTGGGCACTGAGGTGCAAGCAATAGAAAGCACTGAAGTGCACAACTATATGCAGAACATCAGTCAAGGCGAGCGATAGCAAGCCTTGACAACAAAGAGCACAGAGAATAGGCTTACTGATACATGTTAAAAACTGACCTTTGGAGGCAAATATCTTGCAAAAGGTTGCATGTACAGGTATGGTTCCTTTAATATTTTTGCTTGTACAGAGGGTCTACAATTCTTGGAAGGTGTAGAAGACCTCATTCAGAGCGTTAATCTTAACAGAAAAACAATGAAAGGAACAGACAATCTACATATCATCCTTTGTGAGATACAGCCCCCAAAATCGGCCTATCCGGAACTTTGAAGACCCTCAAAAATGGGATACAATTTAAAAATGAAAAAATTAAAAATTATTTCTTAAAATGATGCTAAACATCAACCGTTTCCCAGATGGCCACAAGATCATCGCTAAAACATGGGAATACTTTCAGAGTGCAATCCAAGTCACGCTGCAAACTCTGTTAAGCCATCACACATTTAGAAGTAACCTGGCTGAGCTTCGAAGGCAAATATCTCACCAAGATGCGGTTCCTTTGACTGTTTTGTTCTGCAGGAGAGGTCCTTTATTCAGAGTCAAAACTTTATTTAAGGATGCGTGTACATGTGTGTATCGGCCCGTATTTTCCTTTACATCTTGAGACCCCACAAACCAAAACTTTTGAAATTTGGCAAGAATACTGTACTTCAATTCATGCATCCATGCTACTACACTTTGAAGATTTATAAGTCAAAGGGGGAGAGGGAGATGGATGACATATCTCAAGTGGGATCAGAGTTCAGGAAAATTTTACTATTTAATGGTATTTGCAATTTTAAAACTCACCCCTACCCAAAATTAAGGCTATTTGCCTTAATTTTGGATAGAAGCGAAGTTACAAATAAAAAATTATCGGATTTTTATTCTCGTCCCCCTTGAAAGTGCCGGGAAATCGCCAATGCACTTTTGAAACACGAACTCCGATAGGCTAATCGGCTAGGCCTAACTGGATGGGTATTAAAACATGCAATAAATAAGAAAATTAACATAAAACACAGACGAAATAAGTAAGGCGCGATAATTTTCAAAGTATACAATTTAAATAAACCGCAGGAAACGTTCCGTTTACTAACCCTGAGAGGATAACGCTCTCACATTAACCACGAACTGCTCCAATGGGGTAGCCATTTTGGTTTCTATGGTTACGGTGTCGACTGGCTCCCTCTTTCGGCAATTATCGATAGAGCACTGGATTTTTTTTTATTTTTTAATTTTTTTTTCTTTGGGGAAGTTGGGGAGAAGATGGCGAACTACGAGGACGAACCTAGGTATAATTTTCGCTTATGTACGAGTTTTAATTTCAATTTTAGAACGTTTCTAGCGCGTACGATGGATTTTAATGTGTTTGAACCCGTGTATAAGATGGAATTAGCTGTATGGAAGTTAATTTTAGTCGAGTTTTCTAAGCCTAAAAGTTTGCTGAGGAATTGCAGTTTTTTACTTTGATTAAAACTTATTTGAAATTAAATTCTGTCGCCTTCGATTTGAATTTAGTCGATTGTAGTTTATTTCGTTTATTGTTTTATCTTTTGTGAATTTCTTAGACTCTTATGTAAACATATTTTTGCAGGAAGAAAGGTTTTAAGCCAAAGAAATATTTAATTTAAATTATATTTTTGTGTCATTTATTCTATGAATGTTTAAATAATACATTGCAATATGTAATGTACAATACATAATACACAGCAACGTGTATTTTATATCATACGGTACATAATATATAGCAATGTATAACGTATAGTGCAATATACAGCAATTTATAATGTACAGTATGTGATATATAGCAATGTATAATGTATGGTGTGTGATGTACAGCATTGTACAGTGATACCAATAATTCATCCGAAAACAATTGGTGAAATCTGAAACCCAGGCAATTATTTCTATATGAATTAATGTAAATCCAATTAATTCATTCCAGACACTCCAAAATACATACCAAAAACACATTTTATAGAGAATAAATATAGCGTTTAACACTAAAAACAATAAGAAATTAATATAAAATGAATATAAAAGACTAATGTAAAGAACAAATGAACATTTAACAGGGCATTCGAAGGGCTGCTGGCTCTGGAAACTTTCTTTGGTTCTGTGATGGAGCTAAAAGGTAAGGAAAGGAATAGAATTGGCTAGACGTGCGGGATAATGCTCACCATACCACACTGAGACGAGAAATGGCACAAGAAACAATGCCACACTGAACAGGAAAACATTTTTGCAAAAACCTTTGTTTTTGCAAAATTAGCAGTGGGGTCGTGCGGGCACGCCAACAAAAACCAAGACAAATTTTTCTCAGAAAAAATTGGAAAAACTGAGGTATTACTGTATAATGTATAGTGCAATATACAGCAGTGTATAATATATAATATACAGTTCTATACATAGCAATATATACAATATGTACAGTTAATATACTATACATACAATATATACTTACATAATATAATTATACAATTGAATGATTTGTGGATTTTTGATAACTCATTCTGTGAAACTTTATAGTAGTTTGCTCAAAAAGGAATTGGTTTTGTGGTATTTTAGAGTCAATTATGCAAAATTTGGCAAATGAGTATGGTGTGCTTAAAAGATAATTTTGCTGTTATTGCTTTTGTATTGTGTAGTTTGACCTTGAAAGTGATTAGAGTAAATTCTTAAGTCTCAGCTGGTGAATGTCTGGAGTAAGTATTCGAAGAGAAACCGTTGTCGACAGTTTAGGAATGTCCTTTATCTCATTTGGAAGTTCTGTTAGTCGAAATTGATGAGTTAATAACTAATATTTAATCAGAATGTGGTGATGATTAGAAACAGCACGCATGCTAATGGATTTAAATTATGTCAGTTTAAGCAAAAACTTCTAATTTCTTCCTGTTTACATACATAAAAATAATATTTAATTATCAAACAAATAATTTCACTCTGCTTTTTTCAGGAGTGCAGAAAAAATTTCATTTGGTTAACACTTCCATATTCAAACTAATGTGAATGAGAATGATCCACATAAAGAAATGTGATAATTTTTAAATAAGACTATAATATTGTATGACTACTATATGTATAAAACATATTTATTATTATTTATTAACCTAGTTTAATATGGCATTACCAAGATTTTTTTAACAATAAACATAAACATACTGAGAGTTTTTAATTAATTCATATTGTTCATGTTTTATTTAACTTCTTCAGAATTAATTTTTTTTGTGATATGTTACATTTATTTAGTTGGTATAACCACACACCTTATTCTTCTGAGAAACTACTTTATTGCTTGAAACAAATGTTTTCAATCTGATCAACAGGCCATCGACAGGTTTTAAACTTCCTGGAACCATTACAATTGGTCTTTATTCAAACTAACATGTGATGACAAATTCAAATACTTTCTAATACTTTGTTAAAAACTAAAAATATACAAAGAATAAATAACAATATAAATACAAACGAAATGAAATACTGTAAAGTAAATAAAATAAAATAACATAAAATACAATAATACATATATGTTAACAGATTTATATATCTCAAATTTCTCTAAACTTAATGCCAGAGTTGGTGAGTGCATCAGTTTAATAATCTTGGCTTCATTTCATTCTACTACTGAACCATCTGCTTGTGCTACTCTGGATAGTGCCGTAGAACAATGCCGTTTGTTCACATTGTAAATATGTTTTTTTTTTTTAAGTCTTTTGCTGAGATTTCTGATGGTGACACCTATCTATTCCTTGTTCATATGTAATTGATTATTCTTATAAGGTTTCTCGTACATCCCTGCCTGTTCTTCTTGATCTTATCCTTGTCATTCCTAAGCAAGTTATAGACTGTGGGAGCTCTTTTGTAAATTAATCTTATGTTTTATTCTGCAATCACTCATAGAACATAACATTGCTGTTGATACTTTTCTTTGTTGTTTTACTCAAATTTGAGTAAGAGCAGATTAATCTCTTGATGATATTGCTCCAAATCCCAATGTCATAGCAACAACTATAATCCTATCCAATTCTTGTAATCTGTTGTACACATTGGAGCAATATTTGAATTCCCTTCTAATTTGAGTCCTCAATATTGAAAGTTTATATGTATGCAGATCATTGGCATTGGAAGGAATGTATAGTGGATCGTGCATGCGCTTTATATATACTTTCATGTTTAAGGAACAGTCATTGAATAAAATGTACACCCTTATTACTAAGTTGTTCCAATTTAAGTTTTAAATCTTAGTTGTTGGAATTATCTCGTTCAAAAACTGTTGTATTCTACTATCATTCTTCCATAAAATGAATACATTATTCACATATCATTTGTACAAGATTATGTCATCTCTAAAACTCCTAATGGTAATCTGTTCTAACCTGCATATAACTAACTCACACAGTAAGCCAGACATCAGGTTGCCCAAAGGAACCTCTTTTGTTTATATATTTTACCTTCAAAGCTGAAGAATGATTGAAAAATCATCATCATGATTTGTAAGTAGCTCTATATCTTTGGGAAAGACCAACACATGTGGGTTCAATTGTGTCAAGATGTCAATTAAAGCATTATAGCATGACTCCAATTTTATAGATGGATACAAATTTTCAAAGTCCATAACTGATCTAATCTCCTTATCCAGTAATGATATGGCTTGGAGCTCAGATATTAAGTTTTGTGGGTTCCTCGTGATAAAACAGTTATTATGATAAAACAGTTATTACCAATCATTTCCGCTAAATGTCGATGTAGTTGTTTCACTAATTTATAAGTCAGACCTTTACACTTTTCTACTACTACTATAATTTCTTTGCCATTTTTATGCATTTTTGCAAAGCCAAATAGTCTGGGAACACTTGGGCTTGTGATGTGTGATCCTTTCAGAAAAGGGAAGAATGAGGCAATGGGTGATCTCCCCAATATCTTGACTTTTCTATCCAACCTATCCACTATGTTGTGATCAACTCTTTCACACACGGTTTTCTCTACATACTCTTCCAATGCCTTGTACCAATGTTTTTTCATAAATTATTGGAAGTGAGGTGAATTGAATGATTTAATCATTTCTTTACTTACACAATATGAGTGCGTTGTATTAATAAAAAAATTTATGTAGAGTAGTTCAAAAATATGAGATCAGAGCAATCATATGTTACTGTATATTACAGTTTTTAAAATAATTTTCAGTTGTCTTCATGTTTTGTCATTTAAGCATGCTCAGGTCTCTCGGATGACAAAACGGCAAAATTAACTTGTATCATGTATTACCATTCATCATCAAAACATTTGATAATTAATGACTTTATATGATTAATCTGATGATTGCATGTTTACATTTACTCTGTCAAGAAATTGTTTTACTTTTTATTTATTTGATATATATTTTTTATCTAAATTATTTAGAATGCTTTTAAATTTTTAATAATTGGAATTTTTTGCAAAAGTTTCATTTGATTTGTTTACACTTTTTTTTGCAGAGTGAGTATTTGGATGGTGATTGCCAAAGGCAATTGAAAACATTAATTATCATTTTATTTTAGAAATTATTATTATATTTTCTTTAGCTGATGAATAAATTTTATCCAGTGACTATGTATTTAATAATTTAATTTATGTTAAAGAACAAAAAGGATTATAGCTCTTGAAATGAAGATTAACTCTGTGTTGAGTAAAAAGAGAGTATTAAAATTTTTTAAAATGAAGTAATGCTGCTTATTTTTTTAATATTTAATATCTCAAGCTTAAAAAAACTTTATTTTAAGTTAATTAAATGTATTTGCTATTTAATATTTATTTGAATTTAAATTAGGGATGACTTAAAATGGATATAATTAATTGAAAATGAAAAATAAAAATCCAAGATATATTTAAGTCTCTTGTTTTAGAACTTTTGAGAACTTTTAAAAGCTTGCCCTGTTTTTCCTTATAAGTTTGTTACAAATAAACAAAAACATTAAAATAATTTAATGCTATTTATTTTTCTTTCTTTCATTGCTTTCTTTAAGTATTGTTTACCACATTACTTATATGAAATTTTTCTAGGAAGCTGGCCAAAAATAAATTGCCGATAATAAAATAATTTTTTGTTTCAGATATTTTAGAATTGTATTTACAACAGACTAATTCTTTTGTAGTAGAATCAAATGTATTATATAAATGTACATACCATATTTTATTATTTTTATTTTCTTTTTTTAAATAATTTATTGATTTTAAAATCAAACTTTATAAAATATACAGGGTGAGCCAAAATGTTTATCACCTATACAGGTGACACAAGGTGGTTATGACCATT